ACTATCAAAAAATCTTTTCTAGAAAAGCAAAACTTTTCTTGTGGCTAATAAAACTGAGAAGGGCTCAAGGTTTTTGCAAATATTTTGTACTTAAAAGTCAAATCGTACATAATACCACAAGTAGTCACCCATGCAGCTTCTCAAGTTTCTTGATGTAACAACATCAATTTTTATTTTCTTCTTAAAATTCTAAAACCTTTCAAAGACCACATGGAAAGTTTTACAAGTGTGGGTTGGATTTGGGTGTTGTGTATCTTTTTTTTTTCTTTTTGGCAGTGGATGGCACTCTGGAAAATGTACCTAATTCTAGCCATGTGAGTCATTTTGCTGCTGGCTCTTCTGCTAGGGTGTGTATGCAGTGTTTTTATGGGAAGAATAAATTAACTGATAGCAAATATTTCAATTTTATGTGAAATGAAGGAAACTCCCTTGCTGCTGAGTGGCTGGTGTTCAAAGGTTGCAGGGTAGAAGAATTTGACTATATGTAAAGTGATTCTCAGGTTTCACCTGTGTTACGCGTGTTGATGCACAGAACAGCCCGTGCTTTGCCCCATGGGCTTTCAAAGCAAAACTCATTGTGAGGAGACCTCAAAGCCTGGCCACATAGGGGTTTTTTAGATCTTTATGCTTAGCTTTTGGGGATGCTAGCATAACCTAGTGTCTATGGAAGAGTTGTAGCTGTGATGAGAGTTTGGCTCGTATTACAGTAATGTTCCAGAGAACTCGGAAATTGCTCAAAATAGAAAATAAAGAAAGTTGTGGTCAGAGAGATGCTGAGCTTCCCGCGGTGACGATAAGAGCTATCTAGTGCTGGCAGCAGTACTGCTGAAATACTGAGAGCTCTGTAGTTCTGCTAACAGTAGCTGGTCTATTTCAATAATTCACAACACAGGCTGAACAGTGCAAGGGCTCCGACATTGGCTTTACTTAACTTTAAGTCATTGCATTACTTTATTTTCACCTTTTACAGTATGATTTGAAACAGTCACCATGGACTTTTCACGTCTACACACGTACACTCCTCCCCATTGTCTGCCAGAGAACACTGGCTATACATATGCACTCAGGTGAGAACTCTTTTCTTCTTGTAGAGAAACTGTATGTTCTCTGAATGTTGTTAATTCTGGAGAGTTTAGCTTTCGTGGTAAGTAGCTGAATTCTTCAAAGAAGCATGCTTTATCCGGTCTGTTTTGAAAATAACTGCTGTGTCCTAAGTGGAGGAAAGAATACATGTTGAACTAACAGGACAATGACTAAGATAATGACTCAGTGTTTATTAGTTGCTATGAATAAACGAGTCTCCGCCTAGTTACGATTGCTGTTCTATTTCTATAAACGTCATCAAAATTCTTAGATGTTTTCTGGTGTGTCTTGTAACTTCTGTGTGTGTTTTCTTTTGTGATTTGGCAGCGTTTTCACTTTAAAATGCTGATTGATACATGCTCGTTTCTGCGGTTGTGGAGCTTGGCTGGAATTCCCATATTGATTACTTTTTTTAAAGAAACTGCTTGTTGTGTGAATGTAAAACCTGTATTCTAATGATCCTGCTTTTTCTTGTGTCTTTTAAGTTGACCATTATTAGACTGTCTTAAATCACTGCAGTTTTCTAAATATAACTGTCATGGTTGCTAGTTTTTGTATTATGTATTCAAACTGAATGTTGTAATGGTCATTTGAGTTTTTTAAAATTAAGAGCAGTGTGTGGCTGCTGACTTCATCTATCTAACTTTTCCTGCTGATGAGTTAGATGTATTTTCAAGCAAGAATACATCAGTGAGCCTGAGTTATTAGTTTAGCAAGCTTCAAGTTTTAATAAAAAAAAAATAAATTTGTTCATTAGGATGCAGCATGAGATTGTTTTCCTGTTCTGTGCCTATATATCGTTATTTTTCAAATGCATTTTTTAAATCCAGTATTTAGGTTGGAGAATACATGGCTACTTGCCAATAGAACAGAAGTTGGCAGAACTAAATTGAGATCACTAGCTTAATATTCTGGCGCTTGGGTACTCCAAAGCTGTAGCGTTGTCAGGTTTTCTTGGGCATCGTGGTTTTTTTTTTTTAGCTGCAGCCTGATGTCGATAGTGTTGCAGCATGGGACGTTTACAATGTTGCATCAATTAAATTGCATCTCTTCCTGAATTTTTAGAAAAGCATTGGTTAAATGTTGGTTAAATACAAGTAGGTTTACCGACTTGAAGAAAAGGCATGCTGGACAGTGAAAGGTGATTTATATGCCTTATATTGGGATGGAGTTATTGTCCTCTACCCACCCCCGGTCTGTTTCGTAGTTTAAAGTTCTGCTGTAATAAGTATGTAGAATATTTGTAAATAAATAGATTGTTTTGTGTGTTCTGTTTTGAAGAAATGGATAATTAAAATTAAGCTATTGAACTAGCAGCCATTTAAAAAAAAATCCAGTTTCATAGTAAATTTTATGTACTTGTTTTTGAAACTGGATTAGTTTTAGAGCATCAGACAGTGAATCAAACCAAGTCCTTAAATCTTCTAAGAGCGATTTCTAACTCTGTGGTGTTTCAGTGGCAAATCTGTTACCTTTACCGGAGACCCTGGTGCAGTGAAAGCCAGCTATTAATAGACCTGCACATAAATACCTCCAAGGCTTTTCCATTAGCAGTGCCATTGTCAAGTACATATCTAATGCTAACTTAATGATATATCTCAAACTTTAGCAAGTAAACAATATGATGTAAATTCTTGTATTTTATTTCTTTAGAAATCAAGTAAATCAAGAGCTGGTGGGAAGGGGGAAAAGAACAGGCAAGAACCCGAGCCAACGTGTTACTTTTCAAAGTCTGGCTTTGCTCTGCCCATATGGGGAGCAGGGACAGAGGGAGGGGTTGGGGAGCACTGAAAGCTCCCTCAACCTCTAGCTTTCCATGTGGGAAGATACTGCTGGGTGTCAAAAGCATGGTATCAGCAACTGAGTTGCTGGTGAAAAAGTAGGTTCGTTGGTGAAATGATGGTGCTGAGCAGTCAGGATCAGCTCCAGTGAAAACTAAAGAGAAGTGTCCCTGGCTTGTGGCTCCACAAGTCTTTCTGTTGGGATGGACCAGTTTAAACAGATCAACCTTAATAATGGTTTTTGAATTTCTATAGTCACATGTCTGAGACATCTGTTTTGTTATTGTTTAAAACAAGTGCTATCTGGTGTTGTCAACATCCCTCATCTTGAAATTCACTGTATTTCCACTCATTACTGAGGAATCGTTACCCTCTGGTCCCCTTTTCCTATGGCCTAAAATGAGCTGCTCTTTGTTGAAGTGCAGCAGCAGTTGGTGGGGATTCAGTCGGTATCTGCTGCTTATTCTAGCAAGAGAATCAGCCAGCTTTGCTGATACTTCCGCACTACTGAGTTAAGCTTCTTCTAAACAAACAACAAATTTTATACGCAAGCCAGTGAAAGGGTATGGCTCTGGGACAAGTGAAGTAACTTTAGAGAGAGCTCACTTAATAGAAATGCTTTCTCCACACATCATTCTTTTAATATTATAAATATCAGAAGTGAGTCACCTTATTTTTCAGTATCCCCATGAAAGCATGGGAGGTGCTTTCAGAAAGCTGCAGTGTTTAGACCTATAAGTTTTGATTTTTATTTTTTTTGAACAAGACGGAAACTGTCTCAAGTAGTAATGGAAATAATCCCTCTGCCTTATTGACATCAGGATTTGGAGGCTACAGGTGAACTAAGAGCATTTTAGTGTTATGTGTAGAGATTTCTTTTTGAACTGCTTTTTGTCTTATTTCTTATGTATATGTAGCTATGCAAATAACTCATTTCAGCATAGCAAAGTGCATCTCCAAAATGAGTGACTCGTTGATGTTTTGATTATAAGAATTAGTGTAGCTGGGGGTATTTTTGCCTTGGTTTAGGCACATCAGCACAGTTGTGTGGAGTATCTTTTACTGCTGCTGAAACAGGAGCTGTAGATAATCTGAAAATAGCCAGGATTCTGCTTTGCTAACCATGCAAATCCAGGATAGCCAAATCCCTACTTGTTAACCACAAATAACCTACTATCAAAAAATCTTTTCTAGAAAAGCAAAACTTTTCTTGTGGCTAATAAAACTGAGAAGGGCTCAAGGTTTTTGCAAATATTTTGTACTTAAAAGTCAAATCGTACATAATACCACAAGTAGTCACCCATGCAGCTTCTCAAGTTTCTTGATGTAACAACATCAATTTTTATTTTCTTCTTAAAATTCTAAAACCTTTCAAAGACCACATGGAAAGTTTTACAAGTGTGGGTTGGATTTGGGTGTTGTGTATCTTTTTTTTTTCTTTTTGGCAGTGGATGGCACTCTGGAAAATGTACCTAATTCTAGCCATGTGAGTCATTTTGCTGCTGGCTCTTCTGCTAGGGTGTGTATGCAGTGTTTTTATGGGAAGAATAAATTAACTGATAGCAAATATTTCAATTTGATGTGAAATGAAGGAAACTCCCTTGCTGCTGAGTGGCTGGTGTTCAAAGGTTGCAGGGTAGAAGAATTTGACTATATGTAAAGTGATTCTCAGGTTTCACCTGTGTTACGCGTGTTGATGCACAGAACAGCCCGTGCTTTGCCCCATGGGCTTTCAAAGCAAAACTCATTGTGAGGAGACCTCAAAGCCTGGCCACATAGGGGTTTTTTAGATCTTTATGCTTAGCTTTTGGGGATGCTAGCATAACATAGTGTCTATGGAAGAGTTGTAGCTGTGATGAGAGTTTGGCTCGTATTACAGTAATGTTCCAGAGAACTCGGAAATTGCTCAAAATAGAAAATAAAGAAAGTTGTGGTCAGAGAGATGCTGAGCTTCCCGCGGTGACGATAAGAGCTATCTAGTGCTGGCAGCAGTACTGCTGAAATACTGAGAGCTCTGTAGTTCTGCTAACAGTAGCTGGTCTATTTCAATAATTCACAACACAGGCTGAACAGTGCAAGGGCTCCGACATTGGCTTTACTTAACTTTAAGTCATTGCATTACTTTATTTTCACCTTTTACAGTATGATTTGAAACAGTCACCATGGACTTTTCACGTCTACACACGTACACTCCTCCCCATTGTCTGCCAGAGAACACTGGCTATACATATGCACTCAGGTGAGAACTCTTTTCTTCTTGTAGAGAAACTGTATGTTCTCTGAATGTTGTTAATTCTGGAGAGTTTAGCTTTCGTGGTAAGTAGCTGAATTCTTCAAAGAAGCATGCTTTATCCGGTCTGTTTTGAAAATAAATGCTGTGTCCTAAGTGGAGGAAAGAATACATGTTGAACTAACAGGACAATGACTAAGATAATGACTCAGTGTTTATTAGTTGCTATGAATAAACGACTCTCCGCCTAGTTACGATTGCTGTTCTATTTCTATAAACGTCATCAAAATTCTTAGATGTTTTCTGGTGTGTCTTGTAACTTCTGTGTGTGTTTTCTTTTGTGATTTGGCAGCGTTTTCACTTTAAAATGCTGATTGATACACGCTCGTTTCTGCGGTTGTGGAGCTTGGCTGGAATTCCCATATTGATTACTTTTTTTAAAGAAACTGCTTGTTGTGTGAATGTAAAACCTGTATTCTAATGATCCTGCTTTTTCTTGTGTCTTTTAAGTTGACCATTATTAGACTGTCTTAAATCACTGCAGTTTTCTAAATATAACTGTCATGGTTGCTAGTTTTTGTATTATGTATTCAAACTGAATGTTGTAATGGTCATTTGAGTTTTTTAAAATTAAGAGCAGTGTGTGGCTGCTGACTTCATCTATCTAACTTTTCCTGCTGATGAGTTAGATGTATTTTCAAGCAAGAATACATCAGTGAGCCTGAGTTATTAGTTTAGCAAGCTTCAAGTTTTAATAAAAAAAAAATAAATTTGTTCATTAGGATGCAGCATGAGATTGTTTTCCTGTTCTGTGCCTATATATCGTTATTTTTCAAATGCATTTTTTAAATCCAGTATTTAGGTTGGAGAATACATGGCTACTTGCCAATAGAACAGAAGTTGGCAGAACTAAATTGAGATCACTAGCTTAATATTCTGGCGCTTGGGTACTCCAAAGCTGTAGCGTTGTCAGGTTTTCTTGGGCATCGTGGTTTTTTTTTTTTAGCTGCAGCCTGATGTCGATAGTGTTGCAGCATGGGACGTTTACAATGTTGCATCAATTAAATTGCATCTCTTCCTGAATTTTTAGAAAAGCATTGGTTAAATGTTGGTTAAATACAAGTAGGTTTACCGACTTGAAGAAAAGGCATGCTGGACAGTGAAAGGTGATTTATATGCCTTATATTGTGGAATTGTCAGAGTTGGAAGGGACATCCAGAGATCATCTAGTCCAGCAGATTTGTTATTACATTGCTAAGTGTCTTTCAATGGCTGAAATATTTTAACTCTTCTACAGTGAATAACTTTCCCTACTGTGAGCAATGAAAGCAGACTTTTATTCTTCAGGCTGTTTAGTCAGTGTTGGGTTTTTTTATGTCCCTGTGAGCGTATCTTTCTTAAAACAAGCTTTGAAATTGTAATCTAAATTGATTTCTTTTCCTTAGTTACATTTGTCTGAAATAATACTAGTGTCTTCTACTGTACAATCTTCTCACAGACGAGGGAATAAGTACGTCTTAGTATTAAATAAAGATAAATTTTCATTTTCTTTTTTTATGTGCATTTCCAAGAGTATTAGCAAAGTAAAGTTCGATGGCTTGCTTAAACTAATCTGGGGTTAAATCTCTTCTGGCTGTTGTTTTGCAAAACTGCAAACTCTTGAAGGGGCCTTTGTAGAAGGGGGGGTTATATGTCTTGAAACTTCGTGGCCTCCCGTATAACTGTTAAGGAATAGGTATTTGGAAATGGATAGAGCTGGATAAGCTGAAGTTTAATAACTGACTTAATGAAGCTAAATGTAGTTAAATTAGGTTGAAATTAATTCATTGTAATTCTTCCTTATGTAGCAAGGAAAGATTAGCAAGCACTTTCTTGAAAATTTTCTCTTGAAAAATTCTGTGAAGCCCCAAATATTAAAATAATGGGGGGAAGCTCCTTGGTACACTGCCTGCTGCAGTTCATTCCTTCTCTGTGCCCTGCCTGTGTTTACTTTGCTTATATTCTGATCTGGCTCATTCTGCCTTGGAAAATTCAGTCTTTACACAACCTGTCTGTGAGTTTCTTTAAAGAAATTGGCTTGTGCCTGTAGCACTGCAGAAAAGTGCAGTGGAGTTAGATACCACGAAGCTATTAATAGAGTTGGTTATGACCTATTAATAGAAATTGTATTAATACTCTCTGGGATTACTGTGTGTTCATAACAACAGTTTGTTGTGCTTCTGCTTTGTGCTTTTACTTCTCCAGCCCAAATCAAAAAAGCATTAAACTGGTAAAGCTAAATAACCTTTATCCTCCTCAAACTTGTGAATCTCACCCACTTTTCAACATGTAACTTCCACCCCCTTCTCCAGGCTGATCTGTCCTTTGGTCGCAGTCATCTTTTGAGGTTTTTTTTTTGTCAATTTGAGTACCTTTAATGCTGCTTTTTCTTCACAAATACGGTTTAAATTAATAAGAATTTGGGTTGTTTGTTTGGTTTTTTTCCCTGTGTCAGAGCATTAAATCAGGATGTAGCTTTCTGCAAAACAGTTGAATAAAATCCTTTGGTTTTTACATGTGTTTGGGACTGATCAAAGCAATAGTTAAACAACTCAAGGTAATGTCCTTGGCCAGTTAATACAAGCAGTGCCCTGGTCAGAAAGCATGTGAGTATTCTCATACTGATTATATGCCTGCATTCATGTTAAAGACGTGGTTAGCTGTAGTTCTGTAGGTGCATTACATTTATCTATTATCTTGAATAGTCAAGAACATTGCCCATTTCATTCCAAGGAATACTTATAAAATAAATGGCACTTAAGCTCCAGACAGAGCTCTAGGTGTGCTAAAATTGGCACGACTCGTTCTCATTCCACTTATAAATAAACTTGAAAATTAACCCACCAAAGTCTAGGACATTCTTCTTCTCTAGAAGCTCACATGAAGGAGGTGTGAAGGTAATAGCTAAGCAGCTGGAAATGTAAGACTAGATCCCTTTAGCGGGTCTGCCAGCAGCCAGGGGAGCTGTTTGTTGGGAAGGAACTGGAGCCTGCACTGTCTGTGTAGGTTATCTGGAGTGTAGACTAATTGCATCCCACCTCTAAGATGGTTTTTTGCTAGCCGTACACATTGGGTAGGAGAACCATCATTGTACATGTTAATTTCTGTCCTGTGAGCGGAAAGGCAGTGTTTTTTTGTTACTCTACTCTTTTCTGTAGAAATAAAAGGCTACTTTCCAAAGCGTGGAAGAATGAGATGGGAAGTTTGGAGGCTTCTAGATACTGTCCTGCTGACAGAGGACAGAAAATTCACTTTCAGTGGGAAAGAATTGCTATTCTCCTGCAGAAGCAAGAGAAAAGCTCCCATGATTGTGGTTTTTTGATAGTAGAGCCCAATTCCAAGATTTGTATCCAACCCAAATTGATATAAATGCTTATTGAGATACTTCATAACAGCAAGTGTTCATAAACAGAAACAAATTGAGGCCGGTCACAGCTGTCAGCTTGTCCTGTGGACGTTGTGTTCTTGTGAATTGAGTATCTGTAAGAAGTGTTGGATGAAGATGAGGAAAAGCAAATGCGTAGTGGCAAGTGTAAATAGCGAAACTGAGTTCTGAGACAACTGTTTAGGGAGGGACTCGATAGTAAACTGTTGTGGCTCTGAGCCTTTCAGAATGAACAACAGGAAGAGCCTGATGTAACCCGTACTCTCAATTCACGTCTGTCAGGGTGTGCCCAGTCTAAACAGTTTGAAAACTGTAAAAATTATATCCTTTAGAATGTAATCAAATGTAGACTGAATCTGTTTTCACATGAGGAGGCTGCTGTCTTACTCTGTCTCCTCCTTCCACCCAAATGTAAGCAAGGATTAATAAGCATAATGTGTATATAGTAACGTATGCTGGGTTTGTCTTAAGCTGGGCTTAGACTCCCGCATGAGCAGGGCAGGCGGATGAGATCAAGCAGGTGGTGCTGAAGACCTGCCATCAAATCTGTGCGCCTCTGGGCCATCAAAGAGGTTATTTTGGACAAGTTCTGGTCTGGTCCTGAGTTGCTGCTGGAGCAACTGTCTGCTTTCTGCAGTGCACTGTCTGGGGTAGGGGTTTTTTCAGCTGAAAGAAGCACAGTTCATGTGCTCTGACACAGCCCTATGTTATGTGCTTTGCTTTGTGGGCAAGCAAGAAACCCACTTCTATAGCACCCACCTTGCCAGAATTAAATCACTACTGTAAGTGTAGCTACTAGGCCTTCTGCTGTTAACTCCTGTGTGTGCCAAATTAATCATGGACACCTTATCGCTTTCTACAGCTGCCTGAAAGCAGGGTGTAGCAAGGTGGGGTTTGGTCTCTTCTCCCAAGTAACAGGCAATAGAACAAGAGGAAACAAAGCCTCAAGTTGTGCCGGGGGAGGTTTAGATTGGATATCAGGGAAAATTTCTTCAAAAAGGTGGTCAGGCCTTGGAACGGGCTGCCCAGGGCAGTGGTGGAGTCACCATCTTTGGAGGTATTTAAAAGATGAGCAGAGGTGGTGCTGAGGGACATGGGGTTAGTAGTAACTTGGCAGTGATGGGCTTATGGTTGGACTCAATGATCTTAAAAGTCTTTTCCAACCTAAATGAATCTGATTCTACAACACATCATATTATTACTGTATAATGTTCTGGGGTCTTTAATGGTTGTCTAAGAAAACTCTTTCCATTAAATTGTTTTTGCACAAATAAACACTGTTTATATGTATTTTTCAAAGGGAAAGCTTCCATTCCAAATACAGATTGCACAGTAGAATTTGCTCACTCAGACCTAATTTGCTCGCTTGTTTTTGTTTGGGATTTTGGGGAGAAAAGAATTGAACAATACCTTACTCATCTCTTTTAAAAGAAAACAAATGATATTGAAGTAAATGCTGTTAGAGCTCTGTATAGCCCTGTGGCTCTGTAGGAGAGCTGGCCTGGAGCACTTGGCACTGAGATGTTTTGGGTCCTGGTGCTGAGTGTTCCAGGCCCTGGCCTCCTGCTGCGCAATGCCCTGTGACAGCAGCCTCTGCTCACTTACACAACTGAGCCTTTCCTTCGCTCCTAAGTATGAGTGTTCTGCTTTAGGCTAAACTGCTGGTTTGGTAAATGTATTTCTTACTGACTCCTGTGGTTAATCTGTTTGTGTTTGCCTTGTGTTACTGCTTTATCTTCGTTTTAAGTTTTTGTGAAGATTTGAAGGGAATCAAGTGTAAAAGTGTGGAGTAGCGTTCCTGGGGTAATGATGTGAAGCATGTCTACATCTCAACTTGCTTCTGTAGGATCAAACAGAGAAAAATGTATGAAAGACTAAACATTTTACTTGTACAGATTTAAATGTTTCCAATGATTTGCATTAAATTAAGAAACCTTTCAGAAGCACTTTAAAAAAGTAATGTTAGTCTAATGTCGCTAAATATCTTAAAGGGGGGAAGTTCCTACTTGTTGGGAGATGGAAACTCAGACTAGTGTGGCATATGGATCTTTTGGTTCTTGAAACAAGGAATTGGCAAACAAGAAATAAATTAAAAAACAAACAACAAAAAACTTTGACTATAAATGAATTTTTACCTTGCAGCTTAGAGTGCATCGTTTTTATTTTGCTGCTGGGTGTGGTGAAGAAACTGTCATGAGTAGCTTCCTCTCTCAAATTGGTCCCAGAAGAACTCTGTGTCTGAGGCTGTCTAATGAATCCTTGCTCTGGCTCAGCTTCAAACATGGTTTCCATGGTGGTTGTTTCTTTCTCTGGTTTGCTTTCAGTTCTTAAACCTGCACTATTTTTTGCTTAAGAGAACCTTGAACATTTACGTACTCGTAAGTTATTGGGGTCACATGGCACATCTTGTGGGAATTGCTCCATAACCCCGGATAAACTGCTTTTAATGGAAACTTAGACTAGCTTGAAGGGTGTGTTTGTTACTAGGGAAACTTTCTTTTAAACTCTGGTAACTTTGCTGTTCTTATTTTGCTGCAGTTCAAGTTATTCGTCGTCTGCTTTGGACTTCGAGACTGAAAACAAAATAGATCCAGTATTTGATTCACCGAGAATGTCACGGCGTAGTTTACGGTTAGCTACTGCAGGGCTTCATAAATCAGATGATGCACGAGGTGATAGCCTTCATGACAGCTCCTATGCCGGAAACACGTCCTTCAGAGGACAGTCTAAGTAAGCATTTTTTATCATCACAAGTTAATTTATTGGTTGGACCCTTGACGCTTCCTGTTTGAATGCGATAGTCAAACAGAGGTAACCTGCTGTTTTGGTCTTTGTTCTCTGTATTTACTGCTATTCTTTGAAAATTGTGCTCTGCATGTGGTTTGTACTGAAGTCTTTGAAAAGTATGGGTGCTTCGATGTGAGGATTTTCTTATAAACCTGATTTGAGCTGTCTGGCCATGTCAGTGTTAAAATGCTATGCCTTTTTTTTTTTTCCATTTAAAATGAGAGACGAAGAGAAACTCGCATCTTTAGTGCCATGTCTTCCTCGTCTCTGCTTTGTTTCCTAGGACGGTGAAGGAACGCAGAAGTATGAATAAACAATCTAGCAGTGCGAGACACACGCCAAGGAAAAATCTCTCCAGCTCTTCCATTTTTAGCCAAAGCAGTTTCAATAGCCACGCCAGTGATGCATCCATGGTATCCACGGTATTGGATGAGTCTTTGATTCGAGAGCAGACATACTGAAGTCTTTGAAAAGTATGGGTGCTTCAATGTGAGGATTTTCTTTTAAACTTGATTTGAGCTGTCTGGTCATGTCAGTGTTAAAATACTTTGGCTTTTTTCTTTTTCCATTTAAAATGAGAGACGAAGAGAAACTCGCATCTTTAGTGCCATGTCTTCCTCGTCTCTGCTTTGTTTCCTAGGACGGTGAAGGAACGCAGAAGTATGAATAAACAATCTAGCAGTGCGAGACACACGCCAAGGAAAAATCTCTCCAGCTCTTCCATTTTTAGCCAAAGCAGTTTCAATAGCCACGCCAGTGATGCATCCATGGTATCCACGGTATTGGATGAGTCTTTGATTCGAGAGCAGACAGAAGTTGGTCATTTCTGGGGTAGGTAATCATGGCTGGTGCTCTTACCGGCCTGTGAATACAGCTGATGGTTCCGTGCATATAAACATGTCCAGGTCTTCCTCCTGTTCCTCTTGTGTTTTTCCATCTTGCCCTCAGATGTGTGTGGGCACTTAATCTTTTGCTGTAGATGTCTGCTTGCTAAGATGCCTGCTGGAAATTCACAGTCCAGTTTGTAAACTTGATTTACTGGTGTAGGCAACCTCAGGACACACTGCAGAGTCAGGACAATATGCCAGGCAAACATGCACAATTTTGTGATGCAACCCATAGATTGTATAGATGTAATTATCTCTTGCTACTTTCTTCAAAATGTGCATAACGTACTGTATTTAAAAATGGTAAACATGTAACTTGTCTTTGAAAAGCTAAAGGAAAAGCTTTTTTTCTTGTTTATATGCAGAAGTGTGTTTCAACTTAACATACCTTAATTTGAAAGTTTCAAATTTGTGACACTTTGAGATTTCCCAAGAGGGTGTTTGTGTGCTGCTGACTGGTTTGGTTTAGCAAGTATATACAAGTGCACCTTTCTGGAACCTACCTTTTTAATTGAAGAGGAAAATATGGGAGTTGTCTACATAAAGTCTTGTGTAGGAGAAGAACAACAACTTATTATATCTCCAGTTTGGGCTGTTTGTTTCTAGTCAGTGTGCTTGTGACCTTCCCAGAGTCCTAGTTTGAAAAATTGTTTCAATCTTAGTAGAACATGTTCTAAACTTTAGATTACCTGGCTCTTAACACAGGATCTTAAAATACAGTAGTACCAAAGTAGTTACCAAGCAACAGAAACACCGTAAGCTTGTAATTAGCTGCTTTAAAGTCACATGGGAGCTAAGAAAAGGTGTAGTTGTCATTCATATTATTTTGTCTACCGCTTCCAAGGTAGAATGCATTCCACCAACTGTTACCTTGCAGCATTAATGTCAGATGTATGGATCTGTTCAGGTGGTGGAGGGCAGAATATGTTAAATACTAATCATACAGTGACTTTTCTTTGCAGTCTTAAAATTAGTGGGACTTTTAATCTGAGTTCATGTCAGATATCTTAGTTGATTATGGACTTCTTTATATTTGGAACTAAATCTGTTTGGGCTTAGTTGATTATGGACTTCTTTATATTTGAAACTAAATCTGTGTTTGTTTTTTTTTTCTTCTAAAGGCCTTGATGACGAAGGCGACCTTAAAGGTAACTACACTTTCCTTTTCCTTCCGTACACGTTCTGTTTAGTGGTCACTGGCAGTCAGTGTCAGTGCTGTGTGTGTTTTACTCCTGGCTCTCTAGGCAGTGATGTCACCCTGACGCAGGGGAATGGCGATCTGGCAGCGGCAGAAACACAGACCACCATGATCAATGGGTACACGTGCAGCGACTGCAGCATGCTGTCCGAGCGCAAGGAGGTCCTCACCGCCTACTCGGCTCCTCGTGTGCCAACCTCCAGGATTTACTCCAGGGACAGGAGCCAGAAACATGCAGCTAGTAAGTACCTTCTCTTCTGGCTTACCTGGACAGAATGCTGTAGAGTTTAGTTGATGCTTTTTTCCATGTAGTGTTATTTAAGCACTTTTATTAACCTGCTAAATTTACCAATAACTGAATTCTAGAGAATTAAATGCAAAGCTTGTATGAAATACCTCTTTCTATATCAGTTGAAACTTTATGGACTTGTCAGCTTTTGATATACCATTATCTACACTTTTTTCAATGCTGCTGTAGGAATGAAACAATTTCAAAAGGAAAATGCTGTGGTATCTTAACAAGCTGTATTTCCAAACTGATTTGGAAGACAATAGGCTGTTCCAACCAGCAATGCTTGTAAGAGTCTCCTAATCTGGTATTGGATCTACATCTGCTTACAATGTTTTTGGTCAGGGTCTTCAGACAAACTTCTTTTACGCAGTCTGGTTATTTCTCTTTCTTACATGATTTGAACTTTCAAGATTGAGCTGAATTGTCACTTTGCGGAGCTTCTGACAGAAATCTCTGAGAGATGATAGCTTCCTACTTCCTGCTTTATTTTTTTTTCTCCTCATTTAGCCTTGTGGCTTATTAGAGTGTTTTTAGAAGCTAGGCCTCAAGTACTTGAAAAACTGAACTCCAAAGGGGAAAAACTGATTCCAAATAGACTTCCTAGTGACTGCATTCCTGAAGCTCAAAAACAAAGAGTCGGATGTAAATATAATGTTCCGCTTTCCAAGGCAATCTCTGTTCTGAGGATGGTTGTCCTCAGTGTCTTGACTGTACCTGCCTCTTGCACAGCATCTTGAGTTTCTTCATTGGTGGTAGTCCTCAGTAACCATGAAAATGGTTCCTTTGATAATCGAGGCCACTCAAGAAACAACAATTTGGGGATTCTGTAGGTGTGTTACTCCTGAGTGAATGCAGCTTTGTTCCTGTGGCTCTGAAGAAGTGTGTGTCTCCAGCACTTGAGGCAGGTCACTGCAGAAGCTTCCTCCAATGTACCAACGTAAAGGAACAGGAGGTGGGATGTCCTCACCCTTTCAAATCCAAAATAAGAAAGTAGCTTGTCTCTTTGGAGCTGTGACCCACAGCATGAGTATCGACAGCTCGCATCACCCTGAGTTCTGTAAGCAAGGAATTCATTACTCCTTGGAGTTCTTAATTCTCACTAAGAAAAGGTGAGGCTTCTTGCTGAAGTTGTACGCTCTGTCTTGAAGGCGTTTTCCCTTGGATGTGTAGTTCTTACAAAAGCTCTGCTGTAAGATCCACTGCATCCAGACTTTTCACTCCACGCTTGTTAAAGTTGACAGTCCTGGCTAAACAGTGGTTTCCACACTTCATCCTCACTATTCCACGAGCAAATGGTCACCAGAAAACAGAAGTACATCTTTATATAGGTGAATAATTCATATTCACACTGTTTTTTTCAATAGGAGGAGCCTATTTCTACACGAGTAAGATTCTGCGATGGGTCAGACATGCTGCAACATCTTTTACATCACTATTAGTGCAACTATTTCAAATGGTTTTGCTGAAGCTGGGTTATGAATTTAAAGGTACCTTTTCAGTTGTCTTCCTTGGTCTCCACACAAAGCCAGAGTGTGTGTTGGGTGGCTTTTTTCCTTCTGACCTTCATCTTTGGCTCTAATGTGTTCCTTTTTCTATAGTCTTTTGTCTGGCTCCTGTCTTTCTCCCTTTTTTTATTATTATTAAATTATCTCAGTTGTGCTATCCTTTTCATACTCTCCTTCTGTTTTGGAAGTATCAGGATTCACGTACGTGAGATCTGTTACAGTTAAGATCCACATGTTGATTTTTACTTGGAGGAGGTAGAAGGTGATGTTTAATTTGAGAGACTTAAGTTGATTTTTAAAATCTGTTTGGTGTGATAGTGTCAAATCCTAACTTGTGTCTCTAGATTTGGACTCTCTTGTTGCCCTTGAGCTCACTGTGCACTTCAAGCTTGGTTAGCTCTGTCTTGAAACACTAAAGCTGCTGTCATCACTCTGCACTGCTCTAAAGCCCACCTTGTTTTCCCTGAAAATGTTCAATTCTTCTTTGGTGCTTTCTCTTGTATAATACATGCTCTACGAGTGAAGTTAAATTGCCATATGCAGAAGGTACCTGATTTTTGTGTGTGAATAAAACTTTGTTCTCTCCTGTTCTCTCTGCCTTAGTGCCTGATAACTTCTATGCTCTTCTCTCCAGTCTGTTAAGGTCTCTGGTAAAACCAACCCAAAGATGTAACAGTTGGTCAGTTTGACAGAATGATGGGAGTAGGGACTCAAGATTTGAGGAGTTGTTACTTGGGATTTTGTTACTAACTTTGCTATCTGTAAAGAAGGACGAAGATAATTTTTTTTTTTTTTTAACTGAAAAGCCCTCTCTTAAAGAAGACACAGGAAGAGAAGGCTTCTTCCACGATTGTTTTTCAGGTTTCCTGTGGTTAATCTATTTAAGAGTGAACCAAGGCAGTTTAGCTAAAATCTGCATATATGATAGCTGAAATGCGCACATATGAGTGGCTTTGAGCTTGAGTTACATTCCAGGAATACTTTTTGGATGTGTTGCAGCTCACTCAGACTACTGTGGGAGCATGAATGTAAAGGAGTTTTACAGAGAAGACAGCCATCTGGGTGTCAGCGAGGAGTCAATATGTAAGTATAAGGATTGGTGTTTCTTTTAGCCAACAGCAGGCTGTTGTTTTAACAATAAAATCAGATGCCCCATGACTCTGGAAGCTACAACATAAACATTTGTTTTGTGACTTAGCTGTCGGGGGGGTAGAAGGGTGATGGCCTGGAGGACTGTAGTATCTCCCCAAGCAAGGTTTGTTCCAGTGAAGTTTGCTTTGTGGTTTTCAGTTTGCTAAGGGATGTCATGAACTAGACTTGGCGGAGTTGTCTTGTAACAATCTTGATTTGATCCTGGTTTTGTCCCATTAATCGACTGTTACCACAACCAACAGGTGATGACTGTAAGGGGAAGAAACACCTTGAAATACACACCTCAGACCACATGCAATCCTCATGGGCTAAAAGGGTAGCAAGGACCGTATGGCACACCTTTTCTTACGCAGGTTGACTTGGACCTTTTTTTTTTTCTTTTGCTTTTATTTTGCATTGCAATTTCACAATGTTAATCATTCATACTGTTTTGTGTTGTTTTTTTAACCTTCATCTATCAAAGTAGATTAAAAAGTGTAAAGTGTCTGGAAAACTAAATAATGCCTTTCCTGTTTGACTTCTTGCTCCGATGCTGACTTTTGTACAAGCTTGGCAGAATGCTTACCTAGTAGTAATAACAGCAAACACCTTGTCCCTTAGCAAGAATTAGTCAGACTGTTAATTTGTTGAAAAGCTCTGGTAGGAGGTACTGGTATGCAGATTATTTGAACAAAGGGGTTTTAACATTTTATTTTTGTTCTAGTGATAGTCAATTTTTACAGGAATCTTATATAGGGATAGAACCCTCCCTGTGAGATGAGCGTGCCCTAGCTTGAATGGCAGAGGCATCAAGAATCTGTTGAGTGCTCTTTATTCAGCAAAGGAAAATGATTTGAGACACTTCAGTCACCTAAATGCTTTGCAAAATATTGGGTTGGTATATCTATAATCCCTCAGATTAACCCACACGTGCCTGCTAATCTAAAACTGTAGGATTATTTTCTAAATGTGTACTACGTAGTTTCTGTAGAATGAACAGTCCTAGTCTGGTCCATAGTAATTGTTGGCTTCAGTGGGCTTTAAGTTACAGCAGTTTGTTTTAGTGTGTTGATTTTTATGTGGTGGTTGTTTTTTTTTGTTGCTTTTTTAAGAGACTCAAACCTGCCATACTGAAGATCCTTCAGAACATTCCATTTAATGAAAATTTACTGCCTGTAACTTTTTGTAGGGAATATTTTCTATTATTTATCAGTATTTCTTAGACATTATGTTATTCTTTGGCTAGGATTTAAGATTTTTAATTGCTCCTTCTTCTACACATGAAGCTAGATAAGGTACTCGATGCTTTTAAAGTAGCGATGTGCTTAAAACTTGTTTTTATGGTAGTGCTTCCTTTGCTGTTCTCTTACACTTAGCATGGCTTTGTTAGATAAACGTGCTACAAAATGTAAACTTCTTGTTAATTTGGGAAAAGTGATACTCTAACTGCACTGATGCTGTTGATCAATATGTTTATATGGGAGAACTCTTTCTAAATTGTCTTGGTTTTACTTGGCTTTGTATTTACTAGTGGCTTGCTATTTTAAATAGTGAAACACCAAGTTTGTAGATTACTGAAAGGTATAGTTAAAAACTCTGCAGAATGTGTAACGGGCAGAGAATTGAGTCTGCTTTACTGCATGTACTGCCAAAGAACTGGAGCTCCCTTATGTGCATCACCACATAGAGTTAATTTGTTATGATCCAGGTTACTTTATGCTTCACGTGTTGCAAACGGTGGGAGCCACGGGCTGGCTGGTGTCTCAGAAGGTGGTGTCTCTACTCTGGCTGGCCATTCTCTCTCCAGGTTACTATCCTCACCCCTGTGTGCGCGTTGCCTGCTCCTGACAAACCGGGTCCTGCAGTGTGTGGCTCACACTAATCCCACTCTGCTTATGCTGTAGCTGTTGTATCTGAAATGCATGTGCTACTTTACCTTCTTTATTGACCAAAATATGTTTCATGAGAGGGTATGTTTCTGTTTGCAGGCATAATGAGAGACTAACCAGGCTATTTCATGAGCGAATGAGTGTGTGACTGGCTCAGAATGTGGGGTGTCAAGAGCAGTGGGGTGTGTTTGGTTGGGTAGTTGCTATTCCTCTTGCCAAAAACAGATGCTGAAACATATCGAGGTCTTCAGTGCATGGTTGTGTGGATTCAAGCATTAATACTGAATTTCTAGCAAGATAGCATTGTTATAAGTGTTTCATCTTTTTGCATGACTATTGTTTTTGTTGAGTAGCTGACGTGATAATGCTGTCAGACTTGTGATATCTAGATGTTAATACACTGCATGTTGCCTGTACTCGTGCGTTTCTCTGCTGTGCAAAGTGTTCTTGACCACAGCTGCATGTCCCTCTGCTCGGTCTTGTTAAGTGTGTGCTGCAGTCCTGACATCTCACACTACACTTTTTGTCTTCTAGGGAGGGCAGCTTCTGGCATGTTCAGGTTGCTTAGATCTGGGTGGTACCAACTTGTTGCTCTGATGTCTTTGCTTAAGGTGTTTCTTCTCAGAAGGTGTGTACCCTTTGAAAAAAACATTTTGTAAGCAAATTATTTACCTAGTTATATAATATAAAACAATAAAATATGGCAAATGTATTGTTTCTTGTGAACTTTCTCTAGATGCCTGCCAAAGATCTACAAGCTATTACCGTTTCTTATCCCACTCCTGTTTTTACTAGGTATGTGAATCATTTTTTTATTATGCAAATGGGTGTGTGCTTACTACACGTGTTCCAAAATAGTGTTTGTAGTTGAATGAAGAAGGTGCAGAAGCAGAAAAGAGCAGATTTGTTTGTGAACAGGGCAGTAATTCAAACTTTCAAAGTACTGACAACCCAGTGAGCTTTCCCCTTCCTCGAAAGGAACAGCCTTGATTTAATTTCATAGAGCTCTTTGGACAGAGAGTGGTGAGTAAGTAAATGCACCAAAGTCTTTTTAATTTCATAGAGCTCTTTGGACAGAGAGAGTGGGTGAGTAAGTAAATGCACCAAAGTCTTTTTTTTTAATTTACCTCCCTTCATAGGAACAGCAATGAGCTCATAAAGAGCAGGCTGCAAACTGATTGCTTTGATTGTTGTTGATCTTCATAAAAGTGTACTACTTTTATCAATTCATCCTAAGTCTTTGTTTTGCTCTAGGCCACACTTTAGTTATTTGTAATACTGCTGTTCAGCTTGGTTAGTTGACAATATTCCAGCCCAGCTGTCTAATCTGAAATGAACGAAGTCAGTTTAAAATATTAACATGCTACCCTGTGTAGAAAATGCTGCTGTTTCTCACTAAGACATTGCGAAAATAAATGTAATCTTTGTGAAATGCTTTGTTGTTTCCATGGAAGCCTAAGTTTCCTCCAACTTTTATTAGATGTTTTGCAATGTAGTGAGTAGGGTATAAGGCAAGATATTTTCCATGGAGATTAAAAAAGCAGTATTTACATCTGCCTTCAGTGAGCAAGGCCTGTCTTATTCAATAAATGAGATCTCGGTTCCGGGGAAGCAGTAGTGTGATATTAAGGCTGTATCATGATGTATAAGTGCAGGTTGAATGCCTTACAACTGCCTGAGTGGTACTGATGGATGCTCCCAACTATTCTTCAGTGCTTGACTTAAAAATCAGCAGGAGCCAGCTTTAAAATGGTTCTTTAGACTGGAGTAGCATCCACTGAGTGACATCTACCTTGCAAACTGAAGGCAGCTCGTGTCCTTAAGAAAGAAGCTGATTTGTAGACATAGCAGTCGTAAGGGAGAATTCTCTTGAACAGCCTTTTTGCTCTTTGTTTCTGATGCAGGTATATGGTTCTGGGGGTTTGATGGCTTCCTTTCATTATTACCTTCGTTGAACCGGACGAGAATTGATAGAATCCAGAGAATAGATGACTCTGTTCGTGTTCCCAAACCGCAGCCTGATTCCTTTCACTCTGTGCAACCCCCAAAGGTAAGGCCAGCAGTCTGGGGAGGAACTTTCATATCTCTTAAGACTTACTAACTCCCACGTCCTCAATATTTTTGCAATAGCTACTTGATATGTGAGGGTAATGTAAATAAATGTCTTGATTTTTATATATTAAAAACCATCTTTATACCTTAGGATACCATCAGTATCTTTGATTCTGGTCGCATAAGTGAGCTGGAAAAGCAAATGGCCTTCGTGTCTGACAGATGCCACCACCACGATGAAAAATACAGCGAAGTGATGCTGCTGCTCCATGGTCTGCAAGATCAGGTTGCCCAGATGGGTGACAAAAGTGAAACATTGAAGCTAATACAGAATGTGATGAGTCAACATATTAAAGATATGAAATCGGAGCAAAAGGTAAGAGTTATTAATGCTTTCTGATACTGGTCGAAGTGTTCTGGTTTTATAATGCCAATTATCAGTGATTTGACTTTTAGGATTCTTTTTGTTACAGCATTAACTGACAGATAGTAAATGCCAGGGAGTGGTCACTGGCATTTGTTTATCCTTTGTTATTGTTGACAAAGAATTAATTGCAGATAGGTGGCCTAAAGTAGAATATTATGTTGCTGAAAAGCATCTGGATTTACGGGGAATGAAGAGTATAGGAAGGGCTAGTGACAAAGAAGGGGCTTCATGGTAAAATTCCCTGTGCATAACCCCTACCACTGCTGAATCAGGCATTTACATTTAGTACAGATTCTGTAACTTCTCACGCTCCCTGCAGGATGGGTCACTTAAACACTCACAGAATTAAATGAATCAAAATTATGCGTTGTAGAAAATACTAATCATTTTGACTTTTAGGATTCTTTTTGTTACAGCATTAACTGACAGTGAATGCCAGGGAGCGGTCACTGGCATTTGTTTATCCTTTGTTATTGTTGACAAAGAATTAATTGCAGATAGGTGGCCTAAAGTAGAATATTATGTTGCTGAAAAGCATCTGGATTTACGGGGAATGAAGAGTATAGGAAGGGCTAGTGACAAAGAAGGGGCTTCATGGTAAAATTCCCTGTGCATAACCCCTACCACTGCTGAATCAGGCATTTACATTTAGTACAGATTCTGTAACTTCTCACGCTCCCTGCAGGATGGGTCACTTAAACACTCACAGAATTAAATGAATCAAAATTATGCGTTGTAGAAAATACTAATCATGCGACTTGTACCACAAAAGAAAATACACCACCTTTTTCTTCCCTGTTTTTTAAGACTGACTTCCTGGCTTTACATCAAGAACACGAGTCCCGCATTCTGACACTGGAAGACCTTCTTGCAAAACTGTCTGCTGAATCCAAGGTACAGGAAGTTAGCTTTGCTGTAACCTGTTCTGATTGTAACCCGTTGAGAAAATAGACTGGTTTCTTTTTTTTTTAAGGTACAGGAAGTTAGCTTTGCTGTAACCTCTTCTGATTGTAACCCTTTGAGGAAATAGACTGATTTCTTTTTTTTTTGTTGTTGGCTGCCCCAACCCCCAGTTTGATTTACTCTTGAGACTTTAAGATCTGCCATAGCTAAACTTGTTTGTGTTCTTGCTCCCCCTTCTTGGAGAGGGTTTCAGTCCAAAGATTAAAAATTATTCACTTGACCAGTGAGGCAGGTTCTACTTAGAATAAAATCTTATTATACAGAGGCACAAATGTAAATGTGGGGCACAGTCCTGTGTAGGGGGGGCTAAAATCTGTCATTTTCACTTAACATGCCTGATCTTCTTTCTGTCACTTCTGTTTCTTTGTATACATTAAAACTAACTTTTGTATCTTTTAGGACATTCAGAAGGATCTTGACGTAACCAAAGCAAAGACAGTGAGGTATAAGCACTTTTCAAATATACTTTGCTTTTTCAATCCTGATGCTAACTCATGGTGATACATGTGTTCTTTGAAATACACCAGTCCTTTCCTTTCTGCCAGTTAATTGCCCGTAGAGGTTTATGTTGTCAGCACGGGTTCTTCTGTCTTTACCTGAGCTGCTGAGCACCAGCACAGGGACTGATCAGTGTGTGAGCCATCCTACAGCTGCATTCCTTACTAGAGAAAGCTCTTCCTTTAGTGAAGGAGAATGAGTGACTTCTCATCCTCTTGTAAACACAGTAGAACTTCTCCTCAAATTGCTCAGTGAAGTAAACAGTAACTGCTTTTGATAGGCTTTATATTTAAATTCCTGAATGTATCAATTCCAACCTTGTCTCTAGTTTTGGTTTGCCAGCTGTGCTACTCTCCTCTCATGCACTGGGTAATACTGAGAGAAACTGCAGCACTTCACTAAGCTTCCCCATTGAGAATAGGAAAAGATTATTTGCTGAATTGTCATTTAAGTTAGATTTAAATATAAAATGGCTTTAGAATGATGGCTGGCACCTTTTCTCCCTAACATGCACTGAACACTGGCAACACTGATCTATACTAGCCATATGTGACCTGCTACTTAAGCTCATTTTGGCACCTGCCTCTGAAGTTACTCTGGTTTAAGTTGTTCTAACCAGTGGCAAAATCATGTAAATAAAGTTTGACTGGTTTGCCAGAAACCTTAAATTCCCCAAAATCTATACAGGTCTGAGTTATTAACTTGTCAGCCTGGTGATGCTCTAAAGTCATCGAGGCTGCATTTGTCTGCAGCTTCAGAATACTTTGCTTTGAATATATTAATCCCAAGTACACCTTAAATGACATCTTCAAGGAGCTGCGAGCTCACGGTGTCACAGTGAATAACTGAACTTGGAAATTGTATGGACAATTATGTTCTCTCACCTTTGGAATTTGATGAAATGATTCAAACTACTCTTTCCTAATTACTGATTCCTTGTTTTTGTCAGGGATGATGATGACCATAGTCAACTCTTGTCCAAAGTTAAGAAGCTAGAACTAGAGCTGTCGCAGCTGAAATCGGAGCTGTTGGCTGGGGAGAGCGTGAGGACGAGTTGTGAGAAAATGGATGTCATTCATGAAAAAGTAGGTTCTGCAGCTTCTGGAACTGCTCCAGTAAAGCTTAATACACTTGAGTTTGTTCACTAAGTCTCTTGAAGTGCAGTGCAATGAGGAATGTCAGGGAGAGTATTAATCTTAGAGAATGGTTGTGTTACATGTAGTGCTGCTGTGAATTTTTCTGTAACACCCCACTAGACCAGGGTTTACGGCTTGTTTTCTGCAGTGGCAGGGTTTTGCCTTTAATATATGATGCAATCACAGCTCTGCATACAGTACTCTGCTCTTCTGACCGATGTATTTTGCTAACCCATGGAGATGTGGAAAAGAAACTCATGTAAAAGTAAGCTAGGTTTGTTATCTGAGAGCTGCTTTAAAAAAAAAAAGCTTAAATTCTTTTGAAGCCTTTTTAAGATCTGACTGGTTTGTAGTCAACAAAATACAACCATAAGTATTGATACAGGATTATCAACTTTGATTAAAATACCATCTGGTGATAACATTGGAGTATGATCTAGCTATTGTGTGTGGAATCAAAGCATACCCTGAGTGAGCAATAAATCTGTTATAAACCAGTAAGAGATTATTAGTCTTTATATATATTATTACTATTTTAATTCTTAATGGCTTCTACTGTAGGTGGGTGCACAGGTCAAAGAATCTGTCAAGCTAATGCTTTTTGGAGATCAACAAGAAGACTTTCCCGAATCGCTTCTCCAGTGGCTTACAGCTAATTTTGTGAGCAAAAATGATCTGCAGACTGTGCTGCGGGATCTGGAGCTGCAGATCCTCAAGAATATCACTCTCCATATGTCTGTTACAAACCAAAAAGTAACAGCTGAAGTAGTAACAAACGCTGTGACTGATGCAGGGATTTCTGGAATCACAGAAGCGGTGAGTTACCTTCTCAAAAGTTCAACTAAAACGGTAAAGAGTCCTTCTATAGGCATTTTGTGGAGCACAACTGCTGATATAAATGTTAATGATTTTAAGAGATATCAGGAACATTAATTGAAATAGGGAGCCCTACAGAAAATGCTTTATTGAGTGTATTCTTACAGCATTTGCTTGTTGCCTCTTGTAAATGTTTGTGTTTTTTCAAAGTATGTGACCTTGAAAATGGAAGAATTCCCATTAAACAGGTGTAGCAGAGAGAAGCAGCTCAGGGGGGTGAGGAAGGGTTAGGAAGGAGGGGGAAAGTGTGCAGCTTCTGGGGAAAAAACCACCAGCCAACATGCAGTATGAATTTGAAGCCAGCCAGCCATGCATTAAACTGGCCTTTGGCTTGACAGGGGCTTTCAAAGACTTGTGAGGGAGGGCAATGTCTCAAAAAGGTGCTTCCAACTTCACAGGTGTGTGTTTATATTGTTTTATCTCTTGATACTATTTAAATATTTCTCTTTCTATGTGTATGTCTGCAGCAAGTACAGATCATTGTAAACAATGCACTGAAACTCTACTCTCAAGACAAGATCGGTTTGGTGGATTTTGCTTTGGAATCAGGAGGTAAATAGTAGAGGAAACACTGTTTTTACTATTCATGTTATTAATAATAGTTACTAAAAATGTTAAAATGAGGACTATGGGTTAGTAGAGCATCCTTGTGTACTGTCTGATGATCAGACTGCCACAATCCATGCCTGTTTACCGGGTTATAGGTATATGTATATACACATCTCAGCCCAGGTGTGTGTGGACAGGGGTAGAATGGTTCTTCTGGGTAATAGTGGGGGGTGTACACACCACTGAACTCACTAGGGAAAAATGTGTATTTTCAGCCCTTTTAATGGAAAAATTTTTAACATGTTCTTAACATAACATTGTACTTGCTAGCAGCTTTATATCCCCAGAAAATTATTAAACTTTACAATACCTGTAGTAGTTTGTTTCCTGAGGAAAATAACTGGTATATTCATTAGGCTTTGTACAAATCTCTGCCTTAAAAGTCTTCAGGAAGAAGTGAGGAATTATTTCTGTTAATCTGATGTATCTTTTTTGAGGTGGCAGCATTTTGAGTACTCGCTGTTCTGAAACCCATGAGACCAAAACAGCATTAATTAGCCTCTTTGGAGTTCCCCTGTGGTACTTCTCACAGTCTCCCAGAGTGGTGATACAGGTAATTAAAGGCCGAGTAAACAAATTCAGCAACGTTAGTTTGCGTTGAGCTTTTTGGATGCTGGGTATTTCTGCCTGTAATATACTTGGGGGGGGCATTCCTGAAGAGTTATACCAAATAAATTATATTCTGCCATTTACTGTCCTGCTTTACTTATTAAACTGCTTTCACCTCAACCCACAAGGGTTTTTTCCTTATTTTTCTCTCTTCTCCTACCCTATGGCGATAGTGGGCAGGTGGTTGGGGGGTGCTTAGTTGTGGTTTAAGACTGTCTGTAGTAATTCAGAATTCATTACAACTTTTTATTATGAAAAAATCATTGCAAAAAGCTTGTGGTTGGTTCTTGTTGGTGTGTCCCATCCTGTTCTCTCCCCCTCCCTCCCGTGCAGCCGGACATGTACCCGGGGAACTGCTGGGCCTTCAAGGGCTCCCAGGGGTACCTTGTGATTCGACTGTCAATGAAGATCTACCCAACTGCCTTCACCATGGAGCACGTACCAAAAGCACTTTCACCAGCAGGAAACATCACCAGTGCTCCGAGGAACTTCGCCGTCTATGTAAGTCTGTCTCAACTTAAGTTGCCTAAATATGCATAAAGGATATTTGTGTTAACACCTTGAAAAAGAATGAGTTAAGAGAGGACAGGTAAGATGAGAAACTTTGTCATTGCTCTTAAAATTGCTTATATTTTTTAATAAGCTTTGAGATTAGGAATAAGCGTTACAACTAATTTGGGGGAGTTGTTTCTTTTTTCTTGCTTCATACACAGATTTTTGGCTCTTCACCTTATCTATGATGTGCCTTAAGTCTCTTTTTTAAATTGATTTTTAACTAGCACTGGTTGCACAGGCATGGCTGCAGAACATGACCACAGGCTACATCAGAGTCTAGTTGTGGTAGCTGAGCACTGGTTGCACAGGCATGGCTGCAGAACAGATGACCACAGGCTACATCAGAGTATAGATGTGGTAGCTGGGAACTGTGTCTAGTTGTTTTAAATGTGTAAGCAGGCATCTGCCAGCATCTGAGTCTCAACTTCTGTCTTGTTTTAACCTTGGTGTTTTCTCCCTCCTGTTTGTCCTGAGCAGCTGATACCCCACACTGCGATAGTGGCTTTGCCATGGAGGTGATAGGGCTTTGACCATGAAACTTACAGCACAGCTGTTGGCAGGGTGGGAAACTCTCATACAGAGCCCTGCCTGAAGGAGTATTAAATTACACAGGAAACGTTCTAATCCTGGTTTGATAAACTCCTGAGCGCTGTCTGACCCTGGGTTATGCAGCTTGCTGCTGGCTTTGCTTTGACTTCAAATTTGACTGAAGCAAAACTCTTTATCCTGTTGTCACAGGGTCTAGATGATGAATATCAAGAAGAAGGCACGCTTCTAGGACAGTATGTCTACGATCAGGATGGAGAACCACTGCAGATGTTTCCAGTGATGGTAAGTTTAAAACCTTGCCATCCAAAGTGGCAGGAGAAAAAGATACTTGTATTTCCTGTGGTAGTGGAGGGAAAAGGCCTCGTTCTCTGTTGGGCTTCTTTAGAAACTGAGGACCCGTGGTCTAAATGGATGTGGTGTAAATAAATTAGCGGGGAGGAAAGCTCAGGGCCTGCCGTGGTTATTAATGACAGTGGTAGCTGCAGGAATCTAAGGCGGCACCTTGAGTGTGACGTGTTGATACCAGAAACCTGACTGTGGTTTGTGTGTTTGCTTTTTCCCTCCCCAGCAGAAAAGTGAAACAGCATTCCAAATAGTGGAGCTGAGAATTCTGTCCAACTGGGGCCACGCAGTGTACACCTGCCTTTACCGGTTCAGAGTGCACGGGGAACCCGCCGAATGATCTCCCACACTACAGCCTGGCTTAGCTTTTCTTGTTGTACATTTTGTTCTGGATCTGTATATACCGGAAAGCCTCGAACACTGGAATCTTTAAAGGACGAGGATGCGAGATACATACTGCAGAACTATTGATCCTCTGATAAAGGCAGAAGACTGTCAGCAGAACTGTATAAAAAAAAAAAATAATATAACTTTGATTTGCTCTAATGCTCAGTTTGTAACTGCCCGTTAGCTTTATTTGGTGTCCATGCTGAGAGAAACAATGCATGCGAGCTACTCTGGTCATAGAGCCCCGCTGGCAAACAGGTGACACCTCTTTTATTACAAATGAATGTATAGGGGTGGTTGGTTTGGGGTTTTGTTTTCTTTTTTTTTTAAAAAAAAGAATAAACCACACTTTCTGCAACTAGGAATCTGTTTTTTTTAAAATCCAGGACTTAACTGCATACTTCTGTTAGCTGGGCACCATAAGCCAAAACCTGTGGTACATCTTAGATGCTGACTGTGGCTGAGGGTGTCCTTCAGTTGGCCTTTGGTTTTGACCTTTTTGGTGGATCCCAAAGGGCTTCTTTGATACCTGTTGAATATAATAAATACTACTGTCAGGGAAAGTTAACACAACCAAAACTAATTTAAACACCAGCGACTGAGAATGCTTTACTGTAACTTGTGGCCATGAGTTGCTCTAAAAGTCAGGGATAACTTAAAAGTTATTTTAAGGGTTTTTACTGTAGCAACTCAGCCAGTTTGTTCTTCAGTGTTAATTCCAAATCGACCTTCATGTACTACCTGGATGGGAGCTGTAAACATTGTTTAATTGCTCTATACTAATCCTAATTTGTCAAAAGCGATCTCTTTGGGGCAAGAATTCTTTAGGCTGGTTGGTTGTTACGCTTGGTAAAGGCTGTACTGTGAGAACACCGCGGTGGTGGGGGAAGGATCATCCCGGGGGGAGAGAGGCCATCAGCACCCGGCTGCTCCCCAAAAGTGTCCACCCAGAGTGAGAGGAAAGTGCCCGTTGTCCCCGGGGATTGCTGCTTCCACCATCCTTAAAAAAAAAAAAAAAAAAAGATTCCTGGAATGTACTTGTCTACAGAACTTTTATCTTTGCCGTTCTAATGCATTTTATAACAGGTGAACTGTTACCACATGGGACTGCTGACTGGTTTCTCAATAGTTACGTATGTTGCACAACAGTCCTCGAATGTTTAAAACAAAACAAAAGTCTCCATGTGAAGAACCTTTTTTTCACTTGACGTAGAGACAGACCCTATGGCCTACGCGGAGGAGCTAGATTACACGTGTACAGGTGTTTTCATACTATAGGTTACGTATTTAAAATTAGAGTTATCCTGTATAAATTGAAATTAGGTAGCTGGGGTGGGAATATTTTGAATAACACTAACTTATTTTTAAAAAAAAAAAAAGCAAGATAGGACTTTGTGCAATGTATTTTTGTAAATGCTTTTCAAGATGTCTGTTATCCTTTGCTGCCTCCAAACTGACAAAATGCTATTGAGATGTTTAAATAAAGAGTTTTAATTTTTGAAAGTGCATGTAATATTTTTTTTTTGCACCACCTGCTTAAGTAATAAGTAGATGGTTGTCCCTATGGGCTCTGCCCCTGTTCCTGAGGGGATGTTGGGGCCTGTGCTGGCCATGGGCTGGTGGCCATGCTGGGGTGGGTTGGTGCTGTTACCTCAGCGCCATTCTGTGCTGCCATGTCTTGTTTTGTTCAGTGCACAGCCCTGTTTTTGAAGAAAAAATATGTAAGTTGGGAGGTGCTTAATGCTTCTCAGCAATTTCGAAAGGTCCTGATTTGGGTTTTTGTTGTAAAAAAGTCTCCATGTGAAGAACCTTTTTTTCACTTGACGTAGAGACAGACCCTATGGCCTACGCGGAGGAGCTAGATTACACGTGTACAGGTGTTTTCATACTATAGGTTACGTATTTAAAATTAGAGTTATCCTGTATAAATTGAAATTAGGTAGCTGGGGTGGGAATATTTTGAATAACACTAACTTATTTTTAAAAAAAAAAAGCAAGATAGGACTTTGTGCAATGTATTTTTGTAAATGCTTTTCAAGATGTCTGTTATCCTTTGCTGCCTCCAAACTGACAAAATGCTATTGAGATGTTTAAATAAAGAGTTTTAATTTTTGAAAGTGCATGTAATATTTGAAACGAGAAATAAAAGCTTCTTTTTCTGTTTTTTTTTTTTTTTTGGACCACCTGCTTAAGTAATAGGTAGGATGGTTGTCCCTATGGGCTCTGCCCTGTTCCTGAGGGGATGCCGGGGCCTGTGCTGGCCATGGGCTGGTGGCCATGCTGGGGTGGGTTGGTGCTGTTACCTCAGCGCCATTCTGTGCTGCCATGTCTTGTTTTGTTCAGTGCACAGCCCTGTTTTTGAAGAAAAAATATGTAAGTTGGGAGGTGCTTAATGCTTCTCAGCAATTTCAAAAGGTCCTGATTTGGGTTTCTGTTGCGGGGTGGGTTTTTGTGGGTGTTTTTTTAACCCTTCCTCTGTCCCCAGCCCTTCTCCCCAGCTCTGAGGCACCACTCCCGCTCTGACGTCACAGCCCGGCTCTGACGCAGACGTTGCGTTACTGACTCCCCCTCCCGCTCTCTCCTGAGGGGAGGAAGGCGGTTCCCGCCCCTCCCCGCCC